ATTACATTGCCCCACCTCCAACTCTCTAGCGAGTTTTCTTCACATCTTTGTGATCTAGATATTAAAGGAACTAAATTGTTATTTTGTCCAAATGACGAGTAATGCTTACTGGCACTGAAATATTTGTGCATGAACTTTTAAACATAAATAAATACAATATATTTACTATTTGAATGTGTTTGAAATTTAAATGCATTTCCTATGCAAAAATCTCTTTAGTGAGAAGAGAAATGTCAAAATTTCAGAGCTTAGTTTAGGTTTCTTTTGGAAACCATTAACAATTAGACATTCATGCACATTGCTAGAAAAAAAGTCATAGTATATTTTCCCATTTCTATTAGTCTTTTCAGCATCATATATTCACATAGCCTTTGAAATCTTAAAGCATATAATCATAAGCATTTCTTATCCTGATACTTTTAACAAATTAACACTTTCTTTTTTGTTAAATAGAATCATAAATGGAATTGCTGAGCAAAGCACTGTGTGTACACAGAAATGTGTATATGTTAGAGAAAGAGGGAGTGGGGGGGGAAGAGAGACAGAGACAAAGAGATAGAGAGAGAGAGGAAAAGAAAATGAGAGAAAAAGAAATAAGGGGGGAGAGGCAGAGGGGAAGAGAGATTGGGAAGAGAGAAAAGGGGGAGAGGGAAGAAGAGAGAGAGGCAGAGGAAAAAAAGAGACAGAGAGAGAGAGAGACTATTCACTTCTTTACTATGAGAATAGCAAGTGAAACTAGGTATAGGCCAACATATCACATTGTATTCCAAAATAAAGTCAAAATGATTTAGACATAAAGAATGACATCATAAGCAAACTAGGGGAACATAGAATATCTTACCTGTCAAATCTATGGCTAAAGGAAGAATTTATGACCAAACAAGAGATAGAGAGCAGTATGGGACATAAAATGGATAATTTTAATTACATTAAATTCAAAGTTTTGCACTAACAAAAGCAATGCAGCCAAGATCAGAAGGAAAGCAGGAAATTTTGGGGGAAAAATTTTATAGCAAATTTCTTTCATAAAGGCCTCATTTCTTAAATGTATAGAGAACAGAGTCAAATTTTAAAAATAAGAGTCATTCCCAAATTGATAAATGGTCAAAGAATGTGAAGAGACCATTTTTAGAAGAACAAATCAAAGCCATCTATAGTCATAAGAAAAAATGCTCTGATTAGAGAATAAGAGAAATGTAAATTAAAACAATTCTGAGATACCTCTTCATACCTATCAGGTGTGTTAATGTTACAAAAAAGGAAAATGATGAATGCTGGAGGGAATGTGGAAAAATTGGGACTTGCATTCACTATTGATGGAGTTGTGAACTAGTTCAACCTTTCTGGAGAACAATTTGGAACTATGCCCCAAAGGCTATAAAACTGCGCATACCTTTTGACCCAGCAATACCACTACTAAGTCTATATCCCAAAGAGATCAAAGAAAATGAAAAAAAGGACCTATATGTACAAAAATATTTGTAACAGCTCCATTTGTAGTGGCAAAGAATTAGAAATTGAGGGGATACCCATCAATTGGAGAATAGTCAAACAAGGTATGATATATGATTGTGATGGAATGCTATTGTACTATAAGAAATGAGCAGGATGGTTTCAGAAGAACTTGTGAAGACTCATATGAACTCATGTGAAGTGAGCAGAATGAGGAAAACAGTGTACGCAGTAACAGCAACATTGTATGATGATCAACTGTGAATGAGTTAGTTATTCTCAGCAATACAATAATCTAAGACAATTCCAATGGACTTATGATGAAAATTGCTATCCTTCTGAGAAAGCACTGGTAGTCTGAATGTACATCAAAACATATTTTTAAAACCTTTTTCTCTTTCTTTTTTCAACTTTTCTTTTATAACATGGCTAATATAGAAATGTTTTGTATGACTGCACATGCATAATCTATATCAAATTTCTTGTCTCCTCAGGTAGGAGGGAGGGAGAGAATTTGGAACTCAAAATTTAAAAAAATGTTAGATTGTTGTTGCATGTAATTGAGAAAAAATAAAATAAAAAAAGAAACAACAAATGAAAAGTTTTCTCTCAGGTATGACTTCAAGGTACTTTGCTGTACTGTAGAGAGTTAGATTAGAATTGGATAAATTGATTCACTATTGGCTTTTAATCTTAAATCAAGACCAATGGATTTCATTTCAATAAGCCTGTAGCAATTTACTAGTGCATATCAGGCTTTAAACAATTACCATATCCTTTGTAACTCATAACGAGGAATTCTTGCTAATATAATGAAATATGTAATAAAATATAATGATGATATAATGAAACATCACTATAATACTGTTCACCACAGAGCAAAATTAGGTGCAGTTAGTATGTTGTAGGCCCCATTTAAAATTACTGAAGGTACCAAAAAGAGTCCTCTAAGGCCTCTTCACTCATGAAGATATCTCCTACCGTGGACTTGTAGGAGAGTAGAGTAGGACTCTAGTGAGTTGGCTTATTTTCTGGTTTAACTCTCAGTTACTTGTTAGAAATCACTTTTGGTATTTATTATTTTTCAATTATTATTGATATCTTTTATTTTTATACTACATACATTTCCCAGAATAGCCCTCTTCCCTCACTCTCAGAGATAACCATTCTTTAAAACAAAAAAAAGAGGGGAAAAAAGAAATGTTATAGTTCAGCAAAACTAACCAACATCACCTAAGGCTGTAAGCTTTCATACCCATAATTCTCCCACCTCTCTTGAGACATATATTTTCATATCGCTTCTTTGGAGCCATCCTTGCTTATTACATTTCCATTTACATTGTTATAATCACCCTGCCTGTTACAAGGGGCCAGTGCTAATAAATAATTGTTGGTTAATTATGTGTGTTGCTTTCCTGGTTCTGCTTAATTCATTTTGCATCACAGGATCATAGCATCATACTGTAATTTTGAGTTGAAAGGAACCTTAGTGATCATCCTGTCAAACACTTCATGTAAGTCATTCCATCATTCTCAATAGTTACAAAATCCATTATTTCTTATGGTGCAGGAACATTTCATTACATTTATGTACCATACAACCTGTTTAGCTAGCTCCCAATCAGTGGTCATTTATTTTATTAGAAATTGCTTTCAGAGGCGGCCAGATGCAGCAGTGGATAAAGTACCAGCCCAGGAGTCAGGAGTACCTGAGTTCAAATCCGGCCTCAGACACATGATATTTAGTAGCTGTGTGACCATAGGCAAGTCACTTAACCCTGATTGTCTTACCAAAAAAAAAAATTGCTTTCAACTGAAATGTAAAGTCTTACCTCAGAAAGCACTTATTTCTTAATTTATGGGCCAGATAGTCCCAAATCCAAGTTGTGCATTTTAAGACCAGTAATAACTCATTCAAGTCAGTTGCTTGAAAACACTGATTAAGTTAATAAATTGACAATTTTCATTCTGAACACTTATAAAGGAGTCAATCTGTTTGATGACGATGGCAGAAGCAGCCTCAAGTGCATCTCTGAAAGTTCTTCATACCACCATAGGAGAGCTAAGTGATTCACAGGACATGTCCCCTGGGTACCCAAAGACTATTTTGAGTGTTTGTTGGGGGTGGGGCTGGGAAGAGGGAGACGGTAGTTCTGGCCTAGTAAGGAAATGATATTAACATTTTGCTGGGATGAACCTATGGCCTACTGTTTAGATAAAAATGGAATGGCAGGTATAAGGTAATCAATTTGGCAGATAGTCTGGGTTCAAACAAATGCTTGGATTATAATATTTGCACTATCTACTTCCCTACCTTAAGAGACTTAAATATGCCAACGTATGTAAAGAACTTTGTAACTATGAAGTACTTTATACATGTGAGCTGTTATTTTGGTAGCACAGTGTATAAAACTAACTTGCTTTCTGTTGTTTTTCAATCATGTCTGACTCTTTGTGACACCATTTTGAGGTTTTCTGGCAAAGATACTGGCTTGGTTTGCCACCTTCTCCAGTTTGTTTTACTGATGAGGAAACTGAGGCAAGCAGTGTTAAGTGACTTGTCCAGGGTCACACAACTAGTAAGTGTCTGCGGCCAGATTTGAATGTCTAGAAGTTAGATGAATGGAAAGCATTTTAGTTTAGGAGAGAAGAATGTACAAAGCCTTGTAGTTTGGCATGAGCATGCTGTGTTTAGGAGAGCAGGCAGCCAGGAATGGAGGTGTTTCTTAATAAGGGTGAATAGGAATTAAAGTTGGGTTAGATTATCCCCACAAATGTTAACATAAGGAGTAACAGATTTTATCTTGTGAGCAACAGAGAGACATTGGAGGTTTTTGAGCAGGTAGAAAAGAGATGGAATTGGTCATTTAGAAAGATTGTTCTGGTAGTGATATGTAGGAAGTAAAGACAGACATGAGACAGCAAAACAAATGAGGAGATGGCAATTATCCAGGCAAAAAGAGACAAGAGCCTGAATGTTCTGTTCAGGAAATTAACAATTTACAGATTGGGGTTAGGGACAGGAATCGAGAAGAATGATGAAATGGAAGTGCATGGCTAGAATATGGAAAATTTGGGGGCATGGGGTGTAGAAACGCAGTGAATATCTATTTTTTTTGTGTGTGTATGTCACACACACAGATTATAGGGAGTGATGAAATAACCAAGTAAGAAAAAAAACCCTCAAATTTAACCTGGCTAAAAAATGTCAAACTAGTTATAGTTTTAAATTGTGTATTGCTTATCATTTATGCTTTTATGCCATGCAGCACAATAATAATTGTGCATGTGGTACAGGGGATTAAACACTGGCTCCAGACTAGAGAACCTGGATCCGAATCTTACTTCTGATGTTTATTACCAGTTCAACCTGGGACAAACACTTAATCCTATTGTGCCTCAGTTTCCTCATCTATGAAATGTTGTGTGTGATTGTGAGGTTTGTCCTTTGTTTTTGAAAAGGACCGTGACATCAGTGAGATGATGACATGACATGTAATTGACTTTGATTTGAGTGAGGGAAGGCTGTGCAAGGTCACCAGCCTCACTTTCTCCTCCAGAGCCGTCTGGGTCCGGTGGCCGGGTATCCATAAGGATGACTGGAAATGGCCTAGGATACAAGTGGGAGACCTTGGCCCTTAGTGAAAAGGCCTCTTTAAGAAGTGAGTCAAAGGATGGCCTCTTTAATTAAAAAAAAAATCAAATTGGGAGGGGAAGACCCTCAGGGTTGCTGGTCAACAGAGAAACAGCTAATATTTACATTCACTCTGAGCTGGGAGAGCCCAAAAAAATAACCATTAAGTGGTGCTTGGGCAGAGACCTACTGTTGTCCAATCCATGAGATCCAGAGAGAATTGAGTTTAAGGCTTGGTCTTTGAGAAAAAAATTTAGCCAGTAAATCCCAAGTTAAGTAGTCAGCTTTTGGCCATCAAAATTTACCTTCCTTTGGGCAGAATACCCTCAGATAAGGGGAGAGGAAGAATGTATGAAATGTAGAAGATGGAGAATATGGCCTCTGAAATCCTTCTTATCTCTGGACCATGGTGTCCATAAATTGTTTGCTTGTAATTTTTTTTAACATTTTGATAATTGTATTTCAATATAATCGGTTTCCTTTGTAATGTATATATTTTATTTTATACATTTCAACATGTTATTTTAAGAAAAGGTCTATGACACACAAAATGATTAAGAAACCCTATTCTAGATCTAAGATCAATTAATGTATTTCATGAATTTTGTCGTGAGTTGTATATGATTAAAAATAAACTTTATATATAATGTGGCATGACTCCACACATGAAAATCTGCTTTTCTTTGTGGTCACATCTTGAGTACTCAGTTTTCCTAATTTGAAGTGTGGTCATCTGCTTACAAATAAAAAAGAATTGGAGGAAAATTAGAGGGAACGTTGGTCATGGAAGATTATTTTTGAAATTCTGAATTAATGACATTTGAGTGTATATTCTAAAAACAAAACAAAACAACCGACCTTCCTTATGTAACTATGGGAATATCCACCAATAATGTAAAGAATTTGTGATTTGGTCAGTGTGGGAATTCTATATACTAATATAGATTGCAACCAATTCATAATGTTATAGCTCTCTGTATCACAGAATTGTGGATATAGAGCTCACTAGAACCTCAGATTTCACCCATCTTATCCAACCCCCACATTTTACAGATGGTGAAAGTAAGACCTAAAGAGTGTAGATGACTTGCCTATGTTCACATAGGTAAAAAGTAGCAAAAGTGGGATTCAAACATAAGTGTTTTTACTCTAATATTGATAAAGTGGGGAAAATGGGAGATCTTTGGAAAGAAAAAAATAGAAAATATTCCTTTTGCTATAGGATTTGAACAGGTAGAGGGTTGAGGGGAAGGGCGTGTATTTTAGAGGTACTTGTATATACTACTCCATTTCTCTGATTCCAAATACAAAAATAAATTCTTGAGCTTTCCTAGGATTTTTGCCAATTGTTTTTGAGCTAACACCAAGACAAACTTGCAGTAATTCAAGGGCTGAATGAAGTTTAAGCAGATGTCTTTTCTCTAGGTGAAACTGACAGAACACATGCAGTACTGTACATAGAAGAGTACATACCAAAATAAAAGGAGCAAGGAAACTGAGTTCCTATAATCAGCAACCAGTTAATTAGCTCTTCAACAACTAAAACTTCTTGTGGAAACCTTTGCAAAAGGCCTAAATCCATTTTGTGGGAATTTTACCCTTCCCTTCAACAAAAGCCCCCACTCAGAAACTTGGAGCAAAATTCTTTCTCTCTCTCTCTCTCTCTCTTTTTTTTTTTGCTAACTCCCCACCCCCAAGCACACAGTTCACAATATTACAGAAGAAAATTTTACTGAAAGTAAACAGAAAAACAGAACAAAATCTTGAATGACCATTTGGGATGTAGCTCATTCTGCTCCCCACTCTGTCCAGGCTGAGGCTTTCTACGTGTCTTTGCTCTTTGCTCTCTGCTGGTGACTCCATGTTGTGATTCTCTCTGTGGTTCTCTTCTTCTGCTGCCCCAGATGGTTGCCCCAGGTGCTGCTCTAAGTCCTCGGCTCCTAACATATTTCTCTGAGGCTACCAGCTGGCAATAACTTTTTATGGCTCTCAATGGAGAAGTCTCCATAGGCTAGGAAATGGAGAAGAACTTTTTGAATTCTCTTACCTAATTAGACTTCCCTGCATTACAGTTCTAATGATGGATTCCCTTTGTTAGAGCTAATTATGACACTTCCAGGCACAAAGATGTGCTCTGGGGAAAAATCTAGCATTTAATAATAATAATGATGATAAAATAAAAATAATATAACTAGTATTTATGTAGCATATCTTCAGAGCACTTTATAAACGTTATCTTATTTGACCCTCCCAATATCCTTGTGAGGTAGATGCTATTTTTATCTTCATTTCTACAGATGAGGATACTAAGAAGTTAAGTGACTTGCCCTGAGTCACTTAGCTATTAAACCTCTGAGGTAGGATTTAAACTTAGGTATTCTTGACTCTAATTCTGACACTCTAGACCCTGCCCCATTGAGCTTCCTGAGAGTCCTTGCCTCAAGCTACAGGTTTAGGTAGGGTGACCCTAAACCCTGATATTCTCTGACACTAGGAATGAGTCTCCATACTAAAGGATAAGTGTCTCCCCTTATCCAGGAGTCTAAAAAGCATCCCACTTATTCCTCCAATTTACTCTCCTTATGCACTTCGGCTGTATTATTCAAATGTCCAAAAAGGCTGTCAATAATCACTGCTAGTTATAAGCCCTTCCCTAGGTGAGGGCTACGTCTTTAGCAATTACTAAGGCATTGTTGTTCAGTCATGTCCAATTCTTCAGGACCCCATGGACCATAATGTGCCAACACTGACCATGAGATTTTCTTGACAAAGATACTAGAGTGCTTCACCATTTCTTTCTCCAGTTGATTAAGGCAAACAGAGGTTAAGTGACTTGCCCAGGATCAGACAGCTAGTAAGTGTCTCAGGTCACATTTGAACTCAGATCTTCCTGACTGCAGGACCAGCATTCTATCCACTAAGCCACATAGTTGGCTCCCGTCTGAAGGCATACAATTCCTTTTGTGACAAGATTATTAAACTAATGGGTGAGGGGAATGCCATGAATACAGTTTAGCTAGATTTTATCCAAACTTTTGATAAAGTATTTTATACTAATCTTGTGGAGAAAATAGATGTTGATGAGGGGATAATAAAATTAAATGGATTCAGCACTGGTTGGACGACTGAACTCAAAGAATAGTTTTTAATGGTTCAGTGTCAAGATGACAACAGCTGTCTAAAAGAGTGCCCTAGGGGTCTGTGCTTGGCTCTGTGTGACTTTTTAAAATTTTTTTTTGTTTTCATGGTAATTTATTTATTTCTTTTTTTGTTTTCAACATTTACTTCCACAAGATTATGAGTTCCAAATTTTCACCCCATCTCGCCCCTCCCCCCACCCCAAGATGGCATTCCTTCCAAATACCCCTTCCCCTAGTCTGCCTTCCCTTCTATCTCTCCCTCCCTTCTCTTATCCCCATCCCCTTCCCCTTCAATTTTCCTGTAGGGCAGGATGGATTTCTGTACCCCATTTCCTGTATATCTTATTTCCCAGTTGCATGTGAAAACATTTTATTTTAAACATGTGTTTTTAAAACTTAGGGTTCCAAATTTTCTCCCTTCCTCCCTCCCCACCCACCCTCATTGATAAGGCAAGCAACTAAATATAAGTTATATATGTGCAGTTATACAAAACACTTCCATAGTAGACATGTTGTGAAAAACTAACTCTATTTCCCTTAATCCTATCTCGCCCACCCATTTATTCTATTCTTTCTTTTGACCCTGTCCCTCCTCAGAAGTATTTGCTTCTGATTACTCCCTTTCCCAATCTGCCCTCCTCTCTATCATTCCCCTATTCTCTTGTCCCCTTCCCCCCACCTATTTTCCTGTAGGGTGAAACAGATTCCCACACCCAATTGAGTGTGTATGTTATTCCCTCAAGTCAAATTCTATGAGAATAAGATTCACTCATTCCCTCTCACCTTCCCCCATTTCCCCTCCACTGTAAGAGCCTTTTCTTTTCTGTTTTTTTTTGTGGGATAATTTATCCTGTTTTACCTCTCCCTTTCTCCTTCTTCTAGTATATTCCTCTCTCACCCCTTAATTTTATTCTCCAGATATGACCCCTTCATTTTCAACTCACCCTGTGCCCTCTATCTATCTATCTATATCTATATACACATACATATATTTTTTCCCCTCCAACTACCCTAATACTGACAAAAGTCTCATGAGTTACAAATATCATCTTTCCATGAAGGAATGTGAACAGTTCAACCTTAATAAGCCTCTTATGATTTTCTCTTTCTGTTTACCTCTTCATGTTCCACTCGAGTCTTATATTTGAAAATCAAATTTTCTATTCAACTCCGGTCTTTTCATCAAGAATGCTTGAAAGTCCTCTATTTCACTGAATGACCATTTTTTTCCTCTGCAGGATTATACTCAGTTTTGCTGGGTAGGTGATTCTTGGTTGTAATCCTACCTCCTTTGCTCTCTGGAATATTATATTCCATGTCCTATGATCCCTTAATGTAGAAGCAGCTAAATCTTGTGTTATGCTGATTGTGTTTCCACAATACTTGAATTGTTTCTTTCTGGCTGCTTGTAATATTTTCTCCTTGACCTGGGAACTCTGGAATTTGGTTACAATATTCCTAAGAGTTTTCCTTTGGGGATCTCTTTCAGGAGGAGATCGGTGGATTCTTTCAATTTCTATTTTGCCCTCTCGTTCTAAAATATCAGGGCAGTTTTCCTTGACAATTTCTTGGAAGATGATGTCTAGGCTCTTTTTTTTGATCATGGCTTTCAGATAGTCCAATCATTTTTAAATTCTCTCTCCTGGATCTATTTTCCAGGTCAGTTGTTTTTCCAATGAGATATTTCACATTGTTTTCTAATTTTTCATTCTTTTGGATTTGTTTTACGTGTCTTGGTTTCTCATAAAGTCACTAGCTTCCAATTGCTCTATTCTAATTTTTAAGAAAGTATTTTCTTCAGTAATCTTTTGGACTTCCTTTTCCATTTGGCCAATTTTGCTTTTTAGGGCATTCTTCTCTTCATTGGTTTTTTGTACCTCTTTTGCCATTTGGGTTGGGCTATTTTTTAAGGTGTTATTTTCTTCAGTACTTTTTTTGGGTCTCCTTTAGCAAGCTGTTGACTTGTTTTTCATGATTTTCTTGCATCACTCTCAGTTTTTCCTCTACTTCTCTTACTTGCTTATCAAAATCCCTTTTGTGCTCTTCCAAGACCTGGGACTGATTCATATTCTTCTTGGAGGCTTTGGATGTAGGAGCTTTGGCTTTGTTGTCTTCTTCTGGTTGTAAGTTTTGATCTTCTTTGTCACCAAAGTAAGATAATATAGTCTGACTCTTTTTGCGCTGCTTACTCATGATCCTGGCCAATTACTTGAGTTTTAAACTCTTTGTTAAGGTAAAAGTCTGCTTCCAATGTGAAGAGTGTACTGTCCCAAGCTTTGGGGGTTTGTACAGCTGTTTTCAGAGGTACTTCTAGGGACCTGTAAATTTTCAGTTCTTCCAAGGTGGTATGATAAGGGGCAAGGTGTTTTCTCTCCACCACCACAACAAGTTCCACCACACCAGCGTTCCTCCTAGCCCTAGAACTGCCTCTCAGAACTGTGACTCAGATCCAAGCACAGGTAAAGCAAGAGATTCCTGCCTCAGCACTGGCAAAGAGATCCCTGCAATTCCCCTCTGATCAGCCACTCAATTCCCCCTCAGTCTGTGGGCTGGAAGCTCAGGAAAAAGCCACAGCCCCAGGCTGCACTCGAGACTTGCAGCTGAGACCTAGCTCCTCTCTCACCGCAGTCACAGACTTTTCCCACTGACCTTCTAAGTTGTCTTTGGTGTTCAGGGGTTGAGAAGTCTGGAAACTGCCACAGCTGCCCCCATTCAGTCCTCTGAGGTCTGCTCTAGGGTCGCTGTGGCCTGCACACCCACGCCAAATGGTGCTCCTTTCCCAGCCGGGTGCAATATACCTTTCTGATCAACCATCCAGGCTGTCTTTGGCTGGAAATTTGTTTTACTCTGTCTTTTGGTGGGTTATGCTGCTTTAGAATTTGTTTAGAGCCATTTTTTTTAGGTATTTGGAGGGCTTTGGGAGAGAGCTCAAGACAGTCACTGCTTTCCCTCCGCCATCTTGGCTCCACCCCCCATGACTTCGTATATTTATTAATGACTTGGATAAAGATGTAGCTAGCATGAAATTAAATAGCTACTAAGTGTCTGAGGCCAGATTTGAACTCAGGGCATCCTGACTCCAGTCAGGTCCAGTGTTCTACCTAGCTGCAAAAGTGGAATGGGCTGCCTCCAGAGGTGGTAGGTTCCTGCTTCGTAGTGGTCTTCAGTCAGAATTTGTCAGATAGTTAGTAAACATTTGTTAAGTGCCTACTATATGCCAGGCACTGTATTAAGTGTTAGGGATACAAAAAGAGGCAAAAGATAGTACCTGCCCTTAAGGAGCTTACAATTGAAGCAGAGACTGGATGCTTGCTAGTTGGGTATGGTATAGTGGGTGTTCCTTTTGCATATGGATTGGTCACTGAGATCCCATCTGACTCTCAAATCCTGTGATTCTTGGATTTTTTTTTTTTGGAATTCCAGTTTATTCTCTTTTCTTGTCATTTTAGATAAGTACTTTGGCCTTAAAATAAAAGAAGTGATAAAAACATAGGGAAAAATTTGCATGGAGTTCAATAAATCAATTGGTTCTTGAATGTTTGACAATTTTTATTAAGATCCTATTTTGATGTCATCTAAATTCCAAGAGAATCAAAGCATCCAGGGCAAAAGGATTAATTATCCCTTGGACAATAAAATTAGCTACTTAGCAAACAATGAAAAAGTTCATGGTATATGTAGATGCCAGCTTTGTTACCTAGAAAGAAAAGACTTCAGGAAAGGAAGACCCTAGAAGCAGCAAAAAGATATGGACAGTGGTTAAGAATATGAAAATAATTACCTGCTGAAACCCAATTAAATAAGCCTATTAGATTTCAAGATGTGAAGTTCAAAGTAATTTAAGATGTATAGTTAAAGTGATGACTTG